AATTATAGTCATAGTTCTCAGTTGAACTCCGTTTGGCACAAGATCAATAATAAAAGAGTACATTCACTCCTCACTTAGCTACCAGGTTTTGTTCCAATGACCTGGTTACTATTTCAGGCACACTAAATGTGTAAAGTGTTTGTGTCAACCAGCTTCAGGTACTTTTAATGTCACTTTTGCACCCTTTGTAACATTCCTAATTCATTAATGTATCGTAGTGTACTGAACAGTAAACAAGATAGACAAATTTGAAAATCAGCCGTACATTCTGTAAATAAGTTTGAAAATTGTAAATACAAGTAAATTATTTATTTTTCAATGTTTTTATTCTTTTCATTTTGATCTATTTTGAATAAAGAGAAAATAATCACAAGTTTTTGTAGAATGTACAAATAAATAAACAGTAAATTTTGTATGTCTGTCTATGTGTCTGAAACACCTCTAATTTGGGTGCACTTGCTCTACATGTACAATATTATACCTTTTTGGATTCATGATGATCCCAAGATTGAAAATCTTCCCTTCATCTAATGCTTGAACAAATATTGGGATTTATTCCCAGATAGGGAAGGAACAGTTAAAAATTCAAGTTTTAAAATAACTGAAAAAAATTAAGTTTTTAATTTATATTGAGTTTAAAGTAACACAAAAACTTTGTGAATTTAGATTTTTTTGTTTTAAATTCAGTTTAAAATATCCCCAAAACTTTGTGAATTGGGGAAAATTTTTATTTCTTCAAAATGCCAAGGACTTGAAGTTAAAGTGAGAGGTTTCATGACATTAGATTTTAAAGTTTTGTAGAGTTTGTGATTTGAGGAACTCAAATTTCTGCCTCATTTGGAATTTCATCCCAAATTGGACTTAAACCCAAATCAGAGTTAAAGTGAGGTTTTGAAGTTCTGTGGCAAATTTGTCCACATTGGAAGGTCACCAGTGTGGTGTGTTCACATCAGGTCACCACCGTGGATAGGCAGTAGGATAATTATTTTTATCAAAACTTCAGAAATAAAATGAACTGACTCAAGGGTTTAAAATAAATAAAATATTTTTATTTATTTTCTTTAGATTGAGGAGTGAGTCCTTTGGTATTCAGCATAGCAAAATGTTCATTAATAAGGCGGATATTGGTAGCAGTCTGGAGAATTGTCCATTTCAGTAGTTTGAAATCATACTATAATAAGAATAGTAGTAATCTCAGAAATTAGGTCATTGTCAATCTACTATGTTTTTTGGCCCTTAGCAGGGCAGAAATATCAGTAGCAAATGACTTCTTAATGTATTTTGCGTGGCTGGTTTCTACACAGTAACATTCTTTTGTTCTATCCTTTCCTCATCCCATCTACCTCTAGTTCAGACCAGGCTCAAGAATTTGGCGTGGACATTGGTTTTGGCCAACATCAAAAGTCTTTTTGTGTTAATGTTTTTGAATTGGCTAAAATTATTTTATTTTCTGGCATTCCTTTCTTTTTCCTTATAACAGAATTTATGTGTGGGGTCTTCCTGATTTTTGTTAGATTTCAGTCAAAAATTAGTAGGCTCTGGTCCCACGAACTTCCAGCGTTTTATGGCCAGGTTAAATCTATTCTTCTTCTTCCTCATTGTCTTAAATTCAACCTTCATGGTCCTGATTTCAAATATGATTTTATGACACACTGACTCCTCTATAATGGCCATGTAGCGCCATTCAAGCATTTTTAATGTAAAATCTACCAGACTTGGCAAAAGACCAATGCTTACAAGTTAAACAGGAGAACACTAAACCTGGATAAAGAGTTCAAAACTGGATGTCTCCCAACAGTGGCAGGAGAGCTAACTGGTCTAAGTGGTGGAGGTTGTTGTTGGCTCACTTCACTAAAACTATATACTTCATTTTGTTTCGGATATATTTTTAGTTTAATAATTAAAAATCTTCTTGCAGTCTTCTTGCAATTGATGTTTAAGACTGAATGCATGGTTGCTAGCAAAATGGACAGCCTAACATGCAAATTACAAATTGGGGACGACAAAATTAAATAAGTATAACAATTTAGAAATCTGGAAACAGTATTAACAGAGGATGCACCCCTCCCCATTCATATCACTGTATATTTTAGTAAAAAGTATTTGTACATATTGTTACGAGGATGCATTTCTATAATAAGGGATTCCACTGAGTTCTACTTGTTAATACAAAAAAGTTTTCATTCATGAAGTAGTTGTAAAATAGAGAAATTAGAAATAGAATGTTTGGAAGATTCTAGATCATTCTAGTATATTCGAGAAAAATCTAGATAATTCGAGAAACATCTAGAAAAATGCAAATTAGGTGTTAGCCCCTATAAAAATGGGATTTTGGAAAAGGGTTGTCAGTTGGTGAAAGGAAATTGTTGCCTGTATCAACTCTGGCTTTTTGATTCAAGGATTCCAGCCGAAAGAATCTCTATAAAAAAGTTGCCGACCAACCAAAATCCAAAAGAGAATTTCATGGAACAAATTTGGTAAATAGAATTTTGACTAATTTTCATTGACCAAACAAAAAATTAATATTTATTTACACACCTTTGTGGATTTCCAAATATAGCACTTAGATTACTTCAGTAGCCCTAAAGTGTTAAAGATATTTGATTCCCTTTCCTTCTTCCTCGTAACACTCCGCCAGTAACTCTTTGTTTTCTGTTTTGTAGGCCACAATTGTTTATCCTGTATATATTTTATGTTCTGTTTTAGTAAATTAAATATTTGTTTGTGATTTAGCTCTGTGTTGTGGTAAATCATTTTTTTTCCTTTGTTACAATTATCAACACGTAACAATATATATCCAGAAATTTTTACCACCATGGCTGTATTTTCTTCAGTGAAAATGTGGTATTTTGGTAGTTGTTTGGCTTGGATAGAGAAGGATGCTTTATTCTTTTTTCTTTATTTATTCTTGTGATGCTTGTGTCAATTGTTAGAATAAAGGGGGGTCGTGAATTGAAGTAGGTTAAGTTAATGATGAGCAGACTTTCCCTTCCCCTCTCCCATCGGCATTAGTGCCACAATCAGAAATAAAGAGTATTAACACTGGACAAAAAATGTGACATGGAAATTCAGAGGTGAATTTTGGGATAGTGAAAGAAGCCTTCTAAAAGCTGAGCAAAGTATTAAGAAACAGAAAAATATCATTAGAAACAACAAAAAGTGTACTGAACGAAGGTGACATCCAGAGGTTTGGTGATGTTTGGTGATGCCAGGAACAAATTCCTTGATTGTATTTTTTTTTTTTTTTTTTTAAGCATTGTGCCCCAAGCAAGGCGTGAAGCCACTAGGATGCAGGGGTTGCGGAAGATTTGGGCGAGAGCAGATAAGAGTGATAGGAGAAAGGAAGGGAGAAGGATAGTGGGTAGATCAAAATGTAATTGGAGATGTCGATTGACATTACATTTAAATAGTTGGAGATTATAGCTTTCAGAGAAACAGTGATTGGGAGGGTGTTCCACTGGCGAGAGGTGCGGGTATGAAGCTATTGGAGTAGAAGAGACGGCTACATTTGAAGGTTTCTCGATTGTAAGGGGTGAGAGCGGGATGCCAGCCTGCAGAGGGCGCTTTGAATTCATGGAGTCTGGGAACCAGAGAGAGCAGCTCATCAGAGCAGTTACCATGGAAGTATTTGTAGAAAAAGACAGAGAGAGGCGACGGCACGTCTGTGAGAGAGTGACTGCAAACAAGACGCTAGATCAGGGCCAATTAGATTACATATCCTTCTCTGGATCTTGTCAAGAACTCCGAGGTAAGCAGAAGGTGCTCCAGCCCATATATGGCAGCAATACTCCATGCAAGGGCGAATGGTTGTTTTGTATGCCACTAGGATTCAAGTGGGGGTGGCTAGTACTGAGAAATGGGAGAAAGGAAGACATTTTACATATGTAAAAAGAGAAGAAACATGGAATAAATACTTCATTCAAATTAAATATAAACAAAATTTTTATTTCACTCTTTGATTGAATGCCCTCCCAATATGGATGTACAGGGGGGGGGGGGGCGTTGCACCCCCCTTTTGCATACTACTGACTGTTATGCAATATCAGTCCTCCTATTTAGCAGTGAATGCTGCAGAATCTCTTCAAAGATGAAGAAGTGACTTGAAGCAACAGAAATGTGCTTATATAGAAGGATGCCAAGAATATCATGAACCGAACATGTGAGCAATGAGAAAGTTCTAGAAACAATGGCAACAAAAAGGACACTTATGCTTAATAAGGAGGCATGGTAGAGTAATGGAAAGTGGCTTGGATTGAGGAATTGGAGAGACAAGTTTGAATTCCAGTTATGTGGTAATACCCTTGGGAAAGGTATGAATCCTCTTCTCCCCCCAGCTATGGGTAAATAGCAGGACAGACTGGGTCCTATAGCCATAGATGGCCATTAGTATACCACAGAAAGAAATGGCAATCTACTAGAGATAAAAATCTGCCTCATCAGTCATGTATCGAAAGATACATGATCGCCAAAGTGTGTATCATGCATGGCACATAACTGATGCATAACATCAGTAAAAGACAGGGGTACATAATGAGGAAAGAGGGCTTGGAAATTTTGATACTTTCAGGACAGATTGAATTTGAGAGAGCCAGAGGAAACCAATGCACAACCTATCTAGCAGGCTTGAGCGAATGGATCACAGAGTAGAGTTTAGGAGAGATGTCAAAAAATTCAATGGACAGAAAATTGTGGAGAGCTATGATCACCAACGTCCTGTAGGGACACAGCACATAGAAGAAGAAGAATGAGCTTAAGTCAATGGATGACGGACCAAGGTTTAGGAGAGATAGCAAAAAGATAAAATTTAGTAAGAGCAACAAAGGAGAGGAAATTGTGGAGAGCCATGATTGCCAATGTCTGAGAAGGGACACGGCACCTAGAAGAAGAAGAATTAGCTTGAGTAAATGGATGATGGAACAAAGTTTAGGAGAGATAACAAAAAGACAAAATTTATTAAGAGCTACGAAAGACAAGAAATTGTGGAGAGCCATGATCACCAA